GAAGTTGGGCCATCCTGGCCTCCAAGTACCACTCTGGATGCACTTCTTCCAACACAGATCTGTTTGTTCTTTTGGCAGCCCATGGTACTTTCAATATTCTCCAGCACCATAAATCAAAAGCATCAATTCTTCTACCATCTTCCTTATTCATTATTCATCTTTCACATGCCTCTTAGGTTTTTGAAAATACTATGGCTTGGGTCAGACACACCTTAGTCCTTAGCTGGCATCTTTGCTTTTCAACACTTTAAAAAGGTCTTGGGCAGCAGATTTGCCTAATGCAATACATCGTTTGATTTCCTGACTGCTGCTTCTGTGAGTGTTGAGAGTTGATCCAAGAAGAATGAAGTCCTTGATAACTTCAATCTTTTCTCTGTTGAAAAGAATGTCGTTTATTGGTCCAGTGATGAAGATTTTTATTTTCTTTACATACTCCCTGTTTCTTCACAATCATTGCTGTGTTTGAGCAATGAGTACTTTATTTTGAGGGTTTTCCTATCCTTTGCTGCTTTTCCAGGGACTAGTTGCCCCTTATAGCATGACCAAAGTATTTGAGATGAAGTATCACTATCCTCACTTCTAAGAGCATTCTGCCTGTAATTCTTCCAAGACAGGTTTGTTTGTTCTGTCAGCCCATGGTTAATTCAATATTCTTCACCAACACCAGGTACAAGAGCTAAACAGAAAAGTTCAAAGGTCAGCTCAAAAAGCCAAATCCAAATGTTACAACAAAATGTGCAAAGATATGGAGTCAGAAAACCAAAAATGAAGAACACGCTCAACATTTCTCCATCTAGGGGAACAAAAGAAAAAAAATTCAAGCCTCAACTTTCATTATTGAAGGATTCTCTGGTCAAATTATTGAATGACACAGAAAGTATTAAAAGAAGATGGAAGGAACATGCAGAGTCACTGCACCAAAAGGAAATGGTTGATGTTCAACCATTTCAAGAGGTAGCAAATGATTAAGAGCCAATGACACTGAAGGAGGAAGTCCAAGGTGCATTGAAGGAATTGGCAAAGAACAAGGCACCAAGAAATGATAGAATAAAAATTGAAATCTTTCAAGAAAATGAGG